GTATTGCAGCAGCAATTTGCACCTACTCTTTTCTAAAAAACCTATTCAGGAAGAATGGTTTACTTGACTATAAAGTTAACGACAAAGTGCTCACTACAACAGCTGCAGGTATGTCCAGCCTACCATATCTTCCCGATCACAGTTTGTCCCGCAAAACATCGCAACGAACTTCATTTTCATGTTGAAGTTGGAAAATAACTAATGAAAATATGAAGCAGTCAACACGGCGGAGCGGTCACAAATTGATCCTATGCCCAGTTAGGTCAAGGGAAAAGGAACGAGAGACATGTCCTTCATAAAAGCGAGACTTGTGTACCCAAATTCGTCGGGTTACGGGAACACAAATATAACCAGGAACTGATTGATATGCGTCAAAGGTGCTGTTACAGTGGTTTTAGTCCAGTAATGGCATCAGTGAGGTAAGAAATAGATCGATAGATAAGACAACGACAACTCCAAATCATTCCGAAGCTAACTACGCCGTATTGCAGCTCGTGACCAAATGTCCTACCGACCCTTTAAACCCAAATCGCAGATGCCAGGAAAGCGACACAGGTTTTTGGAATGTAATCTTGGGACAAAAAACCAATGAAATTCACGAGTGACCTTCACACTTATGTAGGGCGGTGAAACTAATAGCAAAGGCACAAAAGAGTCAGGAAAAATGACAGCATTCGTTGTTACTCCGATCAAAGTATCAAAAAAAGTCAAAGTATCTCAAAAAAAAAAAGTACCTCGATTAAAGTACCCCAGTGTTGCGAAACATTGCGGATGATTACAAACACACAATAACCCATAACATCATCGTCCCGAATGTCCCATCACCCCCCCCTCTCCCCCCACAAGGAAAGACAATCCCTCACGTCAATACAAACTCCTCTAACCCCCCCCCCCCCTTGACAAAACCATTAACCAGTCCCTCGAACAATGACTTGGAACCCAGATAATGTTGCGCATCAAATTCAATTCAATCCGGTTTGACCGATCGACATGCGAAATAAATCGGAACAGGGAAATAGGAACATACCAAAAGACCATATTCAAATCGCAGCCATTCATTTGGGAGTATCACCTTCAGAAGTATCACCGAAAAAGTAGCACGGATATATCACTGGACACGATAAATCAATATCTTTATTTCCCAGATCACATAGTTTCCAAATTGAAATCTACTTCATTTAGTACTATTATTGAATTACAGCTGTTGCCTGCGCAGATCGCTGAACATTGGCGTAACAAAGGTGAACCATTGAAGAAAAATCGCACAAAATAAATCTTCATGTGAAACTAAAACAAGACATCTACAAGTACAAATTACACAATCAGACATAAATCCAATAAAATGTCTTTTTCTTTTTCAAAATACAGACAGTATGTTATAAAAAAACAGCCCGCTTCTCGAAACGGAATATGCATAAACAGGTTTACATGCCCGTGGGCATATCCATTCGCATGCGTATAATTTCCAAATAAATTTCAAAACTAAAACAGCCTGTTCACAATATGACTACAGTTTAAAAAAATAATAAAATGCCAACTACTTCTTTCAAAACGGTTCTCTACGGCCTCGAGAACCAAGACGCTAATAGCGAATAAAAATCTGTTGCTAAAAGAGGTCATGATAATATCAAAAAAGAGACCACATGAATAACAACGACGGTGCTTACAATGCATAAAAATATTGGGAAAATATGAGACTGTTATTAAACTACAAATCCCATGGGACCACACGCCTTATACATCAAATTAGTGGAAAGCTTAGGAAGCAGTTAGGTATAGAGTTAACTACAATAGCATGAATCCATAAATTGCAGAAAATTTAGTCGAATTATATCATATGAAGTAGCACGACGGTAAATTCAAACTTATTACTGAGGTACTTCATGATAATTGACATTTGCAAGCGAAACTGTAACAAAGTAAGAATTAGGAATGAACGGACAGTAAAGACTATCAACGTGAACCCAAAATAGAATGGCTGATTCACTTTAACACTGTTGAAATTTGGATGATGCGAAACTCCGTAAACTAAGTTTAATAGACCTTTCGAGAAAGTAGTATTTCTAGTACACCTAAGCTGGATATACGGAATAAAATGATTGCAGAAGGCCGAAGGAGCTCGACAGTTCAACGCGACAGAATATATCAACATAATCTGATACGTATAGATACTCATTCCTTATTATGCTCCAGCTTAATATCCGATTTGATCTTTCCTTCAGCATCATTTTCGGCTCTTTTTGCAGCCATCATTTTTTCTTGCAGTTCTGCTAGAACATCTCGAAAGGCTCCCCACGAGCTCATCGGAACTGCGATTGAAGAACGACTTCCAGAAATCTGCTTGACCTAAAAAATACAAGTACTAATAACGAAAAAAGCAGCAAAAGCTCAGAAATATATCCGTGAATTACGAAAATATTCAATTCTCGAAGTCTGAGGATACATGGTTAACTAGATTTAGAAAATGGATTAGTGACGATTAAATGCAAAAAAAGGAACAAAACAAAATCAAAACGAACACGAAAAGAATATACCTCGGATATACGTACAAAAGTGCCGCGCTCATTATGCCCAACATCGAAATAGAAAATTTTATTATTTTCAGCACGCACATGTTTCGGTTCGGGCAACTCTAGGTTTACATCATTCTGTAAAAATTGTAATATACATGAAATATATACCACGAAAAACTGCCACCAATAATCGCAGAATTCTCCCAATACCTTTATTTTAATTAAAACGAAGGGCAGACTTACCTCATTAAGATATCCTTCTGCGTATTTGTCAATCAATTCATTCAATGCATCGCGAAGCTGAGTCATGCCAGGCGCAGGTAATGCTATCTATAAACATATTTAAAAAACCGTCGCCACTGTTTTATTACAAGTCTCTTATCCTTAAATTTCAAAGCACCCAGTTAGAAAACTCACTTGTGAACGAGGAACCGAGTTGCCTCGTGAAACTCTTTGAGACACACGTAAATAACGCCCTCTTTGATTTTCTTTCAGACTAAGATAATATCGACGCGATTCGTAAACAATTATTTCGGATTTCAGTTGTCCATTTTCACTCACAATTGGCTCCTCACCAGATGCTGTAATACGTGATAAATCGTCGATTTTTTTTTCGAACAAAGTTTGTAGAAAATAAAAAAGTCCTCGTTGAAGACGCAAATAGAGTAGGACTTATAACTTCGGTCACTGTTGAATTTTCGAAATCATTATAATTTTTCCCAAAATTTCGTATAATTCCCTTCGCATTGAAAAGACCCAGTACCGGTAACTTGACAGAAATAAAATCCACTCGATTTACTTCTATCACGCTAGTAATACAACAGGTGGAAACATATTCTATTTAGATGAAGTAGAAGCAATATTGGAAAGTGATAAGCTTCAACATTCGTATGATTTTCGGGAAAAACGACAAAGACTGAAACTTGTGAAATACCGAGGCCATCCAAGAATTTGACAAATTTATCAAGATGATCACGAAATGCAACTGCTGCGCTCATTGACAATATCAATCGGCTTTTTCGTCCTCCTAAGCCAACCTGAATTAGATTCCTTATAAGACGTGCTGGGCATTGAAATGACATACCTTTGAACGGCATCATCAAATGAATAATTATGTGGAACATACCAACCACAATTTGGATTAAATCAGATAGGAAATACTTGAATTCTTTTTTCTCACAAAACCATGGTAAGCTGGAATCATCATCTCACAAATACTTTAACCTGTTAATTTAATTTTCTGAAAGGAACTCACTTCCGCAAGTTTGATAAAACGACCTCGGTTGTTCTGTTTGACATCAACATAAAATCGTTTACTCTGCACCTGCAACATTTTGCTTGCAAGTTCCTGTTCTCCATGTGAAGGGTGCCGATCATCACCACTGCTACCGTCTGACATCGCTAATTAACAAGATGATAACTGCAACAAATATCGCTAAAAACTAATAAATACATGAGGGAAACAACTCTATGGTATCATGATACTCTATTTTATGATATTCTATGATAATTCTATGATACCCACCAATACTAACCTGCACACCAAAACCTTGAACTCCTTCCGAGACGAAAAACTACAAATAACTGAAGGTAATTATTGCTTCTAGGCTTATGTCGCAAACGTACAACTGTTTTCACTGAATATGACGAATGGAAACTATGGAACAGCAATGGATTAAACAAAACGCTTGTGCATTAGCATTGCAAGCCACTTTCGGGACAGTAACATCAGCACGCAGTCACCATGCCAGCAGAACATACATACAATACGAACCTATAAGGTCTTGTAGCCCATTCAATGAGCGTTAATTTCTCAAAAATCGAAACCACGACCACAGACGTGCACCTATGTATCGTACCATAAAATATATCTAACCTCCAAAAGAAAAATATCTAACCTCCGAAAGAGCAATGAATAAGTACCTAATGACTAATAAAATGCATCTTCGAATGAAACAATTCCTACATTACTTCACTAAAAAGATACACTGTAACAGGAGTAATGTCGTGCCACAAGATTAACATACCAGACCAATATACACTCGAGCGCAATCTATCCAGCAACCGAGGCACCAACCCAAACGTACCACTCCGAGGTCTTTTCCGAACTCCTCTACCTCTGCAAACACAAATAAACAAATACTCACTATCACCCACCTCGATGGTTAACCTTGATGAAAAAAAAAATCCCATTATGAATCAGAAAAATATATCGGAAACAGACTAAAACTCGAGGCATTTCCTAATAACATGAATCAACGCCAGTAAGTGTACAATATAAAAAGAAACACTAATTCAGTTTACATATTTGTTATCAACTTTATAACACCATAAAAATACTGCAGTTTGAAAGAGGACTCCACAGCTAACGCTGGCCTATACCTTAAGCAAAATGCGAATACTTAGTTATACATACACTAGAAACATGAAGTCTCAGCACTTCCCAGAGTTTTCAGGTCAAGCAACAAGGAACAAACGGAATGAGTGATATGGAAAGGATCCCTACAATTTGTTTTGCTGTTTTGCTGCAGTGGAAAGCAGACGACACTACATTGTCCTTTTTCTAATCAAGAAAGAATTCTAGAGTGCTCGTTTATAATAGTCTGCATTTGGTCTCTACTTGGGAAATGCACATTAAGTTACCAATTTAGCTTGCCAAAATTTCGTCAGCGTCATTGGCGGTGCGGAGATACACAGCCAAAATACTGTACTTTTTGGTCACTGCTCCTTCAGAGCTCTAAGGACTACAGACAGAAAACTTGCCAGTCGTGACACCCGCCTCGACACTGCTATGCCTGCCTGCTTAACAAACCACGAATCACCAGAATAACCCCCTTCCACCTCCTCCCGTGCGCACCCACGTATGAAACACCGCCTCCCATAATTAACTAGCCAGATTTAGGCTGAACATTTTGCACAGATAATCGATTGCGACTTCTCCGGAAAATTCGGCCGTTCGATATACACTATGTCGACCCTCTTTGAAAATTTGTTTATTCGGCCATGATGACAAATGCTATCGCTGACGCTGACGGAGATATGGTTAACTTGGTTCGAAGTGGGGTCATACAATTTTGGAGTTTGGAAGAGCGGTGGTCGATGGTAAGGGCCAGGCAACAGCGAGATTTTTCAGAACCATTGGATTTAAGGAAATGGATCCCATGCACCTCCTCTTTTCTATTCTACGTGAGTTTGTAAGCAAGTTTCCTGGTTTAGATGAAGTGGAAGGGCATTATTTGAAACAGAATCCTTTTTTGGTCTGCTTTCTTACATTCAATAAGATGTGATCGTTCTGGGACACTTGTGTACGTAATGAACGACTCGACGAGGCCAACTACAGCTTTAGGCCATGATGTGCTTTGATTTGCTAATTTAGATTGAAAGAGCGAGACAGTGGCGGTCCTGACAGAATGGGTAGTGGAGGAACATTTGGCCGTCTCAGGATCATATTCCAGAGGCGTTTGAATTGACTGTGAGTGAGTGACGCTTGTTGGAAGGATGGCCATTCACAGTTTACTCTTCCGTCGTATGTTATAAAACATTGGCTTTCTTCAATTCCGAAAATTATAACGAAGTTGAGGAACGACGTTTGGAATGGTGAGCGTCGTCGACAACATATAGGCTTTAAATATGGCACCCCATGAGTGACGTGGCAAGTGGGTATATTTTTGGTGTAAGCGTTGACAATTGTCGAACCAGTAGTCGCATATAGGCAATCTTCATTCTTAGTTTGCTTGTTTGCCGGTTTAATTTATTATTACAATTCATAAAAGAATTTAATATCATTTGGGCCTTCACGATAATTTGCTTTGCAAAAACGTAATCTTCGATTGTATTAGACTAGTGCTTCCCAACTTTTCCTTGACCAGGTACCACCTTTGTCGGATTATTCAAATTAAAATTACGTCAAAATAAAATTTGTACAATATCGACCAGATGGGATGATGCAATGCTGTAAGTAAAATTGAAGCGATGAGGAGAACATAAGCTAACAATGGGGTACATCACAAAAAGATTTCGGTACTTTTGCACGGCTGCAGAATAGGAACTCCCAGGAGTCAGCTAATCTCCACGATGATCTCGGTGAAGCTTATCAAAGCTCCTACTCGAAGGTATATATATATACATACATATACACATATGTATATACATATATATATATATACATATATATACATGTATACATATATATACATATATGCATAATGTATACATATATATATACGTGTATGCATATATGTATATAATGTATATATACATATATATATACATATATATGTATATACACATATGTATATATATATATATATATATGTATATATATATATATGTACACATGTATATATATATATATATACATGTATATATATATATATATATATAGTAAGAAGTCGCAGAGTCTTATTTTTTTACAACCAAACAACTACATCGCTCTGTACCCTTATCCGCCATCATTTCGATCACCAGCTACATTATCCCTTCCTTCCTGCCTTCACAATTTGATACCTTCCCAATAACATATCCCCATCCCAAAGAAAGACGAACTCTTATATCCCAATCACTACAAAACCTATTAACAAAGCGGCAATCATCTATTACCGAGGGCAACGCCAAGAGGTTTGTTAGTTAAAGTTGATCATACTGTTTGTTTATTGTACAACTCATTTTTGTCACTGCTTATCGGGAAAGCTAATCTGTTGAATTCGATTCTCAGCGATACAGATTTATTCGGGATGTAATATTGTTCTTCACAATATTACTAGTTAACAAGAAGGATAACAAATATATGTATATATATACATATATATATATATATATATACATATATACATATATATACATATATATATATATATATACATATATATATATATATAT